ATATATTCGAATACATCGATCAAGTCTTTCTTCGTTTACGTCGTTTTATCACATCGTCGATAAACAACATCAATCATCACCATAACCGGTTGGGACCCTAAATTCCATGCATTGCATAATTGGATGACTGAATTGATATAGTGGGACACTACAATCAATTCCATCACACTTAATATTCCTGTTCCTCTTATTTGCAACAAACATACTTTCCGTTGTTATCCACTCTTTATTTCTGTTCGAATTCATTTGATGGGGGAGGTAATAGCTATTGCACGCTTTTGCATGAAAAGCGTAGTTATTTGAAAGCAGAGGAACATTACAAAGTGCAATTGGTAATTCTCTATTACTGTTTCCATCTTATGTCTTGCCCCGTGGGGACCGGTAGTTGATATCACTAGGATCATTTGATTATAAAATGGTCTTCAAGCATATCTTTAACACGCCTGCTGTTACCCGGCCCAGTATGGTGGTGCATGATGTGTCTTTTGTGTGGCTCGCTACTTCCAATCGCAGACCGAATTTGGACTGTCCTCTTCATCGGATTACCATACAGTGCACATCGATGATTTTCCTCTTGAGACAATGCTGACCAATGAGGTTCATTTAATGAACATCCTTCTGGCCTGGGTTGAAGTGTGATGAAGAGATACTATTAGGTTTCAACAATTCGTCACATTTACGTTGTGCCGTCAATGATGTTCTCCTAACGCACACATTTTTTTCCATAGAATAATAAATCCAATTTCATTATCCGTAACTATTTATGTCACAGTGGTATTACCGACTCAACGGGTGCAGAAAAAATAATGCCACCCTCGTTTGTTGATCTATACAAAACAGACCGACAAGGACGAAACAGTTGTTTTCAGTGTTCGTTGTCGACCACCATACACCATTTAACGAACAAACAAACTGTGTGAAGCGAACTAGCGAACACGTAGTGTGTGAAGGTCAAACAGTATAGAGACTGTGATGTAGTTGCATTCGCTTGGGATAAACTAGGAGGAACAGTTCATGATAAGTCAATCGACTGTAGACTTTCAGCTGTCATCTGTTAACCTTGGTACCGCGGCTTATTTGGTCTCCAAATATGTAGAAGTCTGTCAGAAATAAAGTTGTCAGTACTACTAACTGAATTATTGTATCAGTAACGATCGAATAATATCATTAGTTAATCTTTGCTCAATCGAGTGAACCGACCATTTTGTCCCCCGTAGTTTTTCGCACCTCAGAGAATTCGCTCGTGGTGGCATTTCGCTTCATTCGAATGTTTCACGCCATCAACCTGGCCTAAGGTGCTGGTTTCCCGACCCCCATTCTGTGCAGTTGATATGTGGTCTGGGCTATAGCAACTTTCGCTTTAAATACTTAGTGCTTTCCCTCTGAGCAGCTGCACTTACAGTTACTGTGCTACGGGTAATCATTCTCGAGCCACTTTGTGTGTGTGTGTGTGTTTATTAAATCCAATAGCATCGCAGGTGCCCACTCCACATCAAAGTTCCCGTTTGTTCAAACACATTGATCGATCGACTGGCAAAATGTTTGTACGACCAGGCGCTCAGTTCCGGTCTGTGATTTTTGCACACACAAACGCACACCCCCCCACCGATCGCCATGTCGACTATGCCGTTCGGACTACGATGCGCGAACGTACGCATCAGCTCTTGGTCTCGTTCATTTTCATATATACCCGTGTGTGTGCATGCATATGTGTGTTGGTGCATGCTTGCTTTCCAATCGTTTCTCTCCTGTCTCCATCCCTCCCGTTCCGGCACACGACTTCGATCAATCTAGGAAGTTAACAACCGATCCATCGTTCGGTTAAGATTGCGTTTGCAACAGTCGGTTGGTTCATGTGCCTAGTGCGCCTGGACTGCGTCCAATGCATTCTGTTTGCACCATTCCTATTGGCAGTGGTCATCTTTCTCGTGTGTCTGGTTCCCGGCCTCTCAGTGACTGTGCCTCTTTTGTAA